AATTATTTCGGACAATTCGAGAAATTTGGATAATTAAAATTATATACATAATAAAAATAAAGAATATTTGTGTACAAAATAAAAATTCGACGAATTTCCATTAAATACATAATTTTTAATCATGAATTTCTATTTAATACAGTAAATTAAAATTATGTACATAGTTTTAATTCTTTAATTTCTATTATGTTCATAATTTAATTTACCGAAATTCTATTATGTAAATAACTGAAATTGTACTTAATAGAAATTCACGAATAAAATGTACATAATAGAAATGCAGAAATTAAAATTATGTACATAATATAAATTCGATGAATTATAATTATGTATATAATAGAAATTCGACAAATAAAAATTATGTTTATAATAGAAATTCGGGAATTATAATTATGTACATAATAGAAATTTGATGAATTAAAATTATGTATATGGGGCATTATTTATGAAGTAATCCACCCAAATTTTCAAAGTTTTCCAATCACGCTGTTTGCAGAAAGTGTAGTCCTATCAAAAGTAAAATTATTCCTCAAGTTGTTTGGCCCACACCATACAGGCTCTGTGCATGTATCATATTTACAAAGTATTTTAAGTTAACCGAAAAAACATCATAGAGGAGTAAAAATAAATTGTTAAAAAGAAACAAAATAAGATTTAAAAAGCAGGGACATTTATTCTTTAACAATAAATGTTATTTTTCCTAAAATTGAGAGAATTAGAAGAGATTTTATAAAATACAAAATTTAAAAGCAAACGTAAGTTAATCGATATAACAAACGTTCCTGCTTTTTAAATCTTATTTTGTTTTTTTTTAACAATTTATTTTTACTCCTCTATGCTCTTTTTTCGGTTAACTTATCAAATACTTTATAAGTATGTATATATACATGTTTATATATGTATATATATCTAAAATACATATATATATAATATATGAGAAGTCACCATGCTTGACCACAAGCAATAGAACTGGCTAGATATCTTTCTGTATTTGTAACAGGGTCCGAACTGCATCATTGATGACACGCTTGGTTCTAAAATGGACTATATCTTAAAAACTAAAAGCCTGCCCATCTTGGCCTTGGAAGCATTTTAAAGGAGAAGATTTCTATTTCTTTTAAGATTTTTTTGAAGAAAATCGAAGATATCTAAATTTGAGAAAAAATTAATTTTTACTTCGTTTTTTAAAAATCTTATATAAATTGTTATTGAAAGAAAAAACTAATTTTAAAAAATTAAAGTACGTAAAAAGACCTTTCGAAATCACACCTTATTTTTAAAATCGGAGTAGTCTTCTGAAATTTATCAACGTTTGAAGTTGGACGTAACGGCCAAAATGATAAAAATTCAAGTCCCTGTTAACACAGAGCCTGTACGATGTGGGCCAAACAACTTGAGGAATAATTTTACTTTTGATAGAACTACATTCTGCAAATTTCAGCGTGATTGGAAAACTTTGAAAATTTGGGTGGATCACTTCATAAATAATGCCCCATATGTATAATAAAAATAAAGAATTAAAATTAAATTAAACCAACTTCTGATTAAACTTATTAAATATTATAGTTTTTGAGATCAATAATGTTTTAATATTACAATTGCAAAATTCAAGATTGCGGATCCAATATGGTGAATCAGTATTGAGAGAAACTAGATGCCAGGATGTAGTTACTTCCAAATAAAAGATCTGATTCCACATTCAAATGCATTATGGTTTTTAGTTTTCTTTTTATTTTAATATTTTTGTTTCATTGTTGAATAGAATTCTTTAGTTCTAACGTAAAGAATATGAGAACTGTTAATATTTTCTATGTTAGAACTAAAGAATTTTATTCAACAATAAAATAAAAATATTTTAATAAAAAAACTAAAAAACATAATGTATTTAAATGTGGAATCAAATCGTTTATTCGGAAGTAACTACATCGTGGAATTTATATAGTATCTCTCAATACTGATCCACCATATTGGATCCGCAATCTTGAATTTTGTGATCCCGATATTAAAACATTATTGATCTCAAAAACTATTTGATAAGTGTTTAACCAGAACTTGGTTTGATTGAAAATTTATCCATGTTCATCGATTTTATAGTTGTCTTCAGATCGATCGAATGACGCTATTTTCAATAGTTTTGACAGATTTTCAATACTTTCCCCAGGTCTCTAGGAAAAGCCATCATTTTTACATCTATATGGTTTGTAGATACCCATGGAACTTGAATTTTAGGTTCCATCGATAGTCGGGAAATCGACTTTTTTTAACATCCTCCTTTAAGAATAAAAGTTATGTACACAATAAAAATTCAACGAATTAAAAGTATGCACATAATGGAAATTCAAGAATTAAAATCATGTACATATATAATAGAAATTTGGGAAATTAAAATTATGTACACAAAAGAATTTCAGCGAATTAAATTATGAACATAATAGAAATTGAAGAATTAAAACTATGTACATAATTTTTATTTGCCGTATTTCGATTATGTACATAATTTTAATATGTTGAATTTGTATTATGTGCAAAATTGAATTCGCTGAATTTCTTTATGTGAATAATTTTAATTCGCTAAATTTTTATTATATACATAATTTTAATTCTTGAATTTCCATTATGTACATAATTTTGATTCGTTGAATTTCCATTGTATACATAATTTTTATTCGTAAATTTCTATTATGTTCATAATTTAATTCGCCAAATTTCTATTATATATTTAATTTTAATTCTCTGAATTTCTATTATGTATCTACTGAAATTTAATTAATTAATTTATTTTCATTTTGTACATGATTTTAATTCATCAAATTTCTATTATGTGCATAATTCTAATTCCCGAATTTCTATTATGTACATAATTTTAATTTCCGCATTTCTATTATGCACACAATTTTTATTCGTAAATTTCTATTATGTTCATAATTTTAATTTGTCAAACTATGATATGTACATAATTTTAATTAGACGTATATTTATATTATGTAAAAAATTTTATTGTTGAATTTTTATTGTGTACATAATTTTAATTCTTACATTTACATTATGTTTAAATTTTAATTCGCCGAATTTCTATTATGTACATAATTTGTATTCTTTAATTATGTTTATAATTTTAATTCGTCGAATTTCTATTATGTATATAATTTTATTGGTCAAATTTCTATTAAGTACAATTTCAGTCATTTATATTATGTAAAAAATTTTATTGTTGAATTTTTATTGTGTACATAATTTTAATTCTTACATTTACATTATGTTTAAATTTTAATTCGCCGAATTTCTATTATGTACATAATTTGTATTCTTTAATTATGTTTATAATTTTAATTCGTCGAATTTCTATTATGTACATAATTTTATTGGTCGAATTTCTATTAAGTACAATTTCAGTTATTTACATAATAGAAATACGGCGAATTAAAATTATGTGCATAATAGAAATTCAAGAATTAAAATTATGTACATAATAAAAATAAAAAATTAAAATTATGTGCATAATAAAAATTCGACAAATTAAAATTAGGTTCGTAAGAAATTCAGCGAATAAAAATTATGTATAATAGTGTTTGAAACGCATAATAGAAACTACATGTAATAAAATATTATATCTTAAATAGAATATTCTAGAATATTCGCTTCCGATCGCAAGTCAACAGGCATATCGTTTTTATATGTTTTTTTTTTGAAAACATATCGCGACATAAATTATCCTGTCGTACAAAAACACGCTCGAAATATAAACAATTAACGGTGTCGCAACCGTTCCGCCGAATAATTATATTTTATTGAGCATGCGCGGCTTCTCACGGGCGCCTCGTTTCGCCAATAATCATCGTGATCGCCAGCTCGCGCATGCTTTCTAACAGCCGTTGTTCTGTCAATTTTGACAGCGGCCAATTACGCGTAATACGCTCAGGTCACCTCGCGCAACTTTAAAAAGACGCAAAATTATTGGCGCTTCCCGAAGGTGGGTTTTTTGCGGAAACCCATAAAAGAGAGCTCGCACCCGAAATCAGGGCCTTATCGCTTTTTCCGCCGTGAACCGCATAACGCAACCGCAGATTTGTAAAACCGCAGAAATTCGTTGACGACCGCCGCTTATTCCGCACTTTGATTTGAGTTCGATTTTCTCTGTAAATTAATTAAGATTGTAAAAGTTTGTTAAAGTGTTCGTTTTCTAATTGTTTTATAATATTAAAGTCAATTTAATACAAAGAGTGACTCATCCTTTCGTGCAGCGCGATCCTTTCTCTCGCAGCGCGTTCGTGAACATATTTCTGGTCCTTCGAGCCGGATCCGTCGCACCGGCAACCGCAAGTTCGCGAGCGTGACTTCTCGTGTGAGTGAAGGTGTGAACGTCTGGGTGTGCAGCCGTCATGGATGTGTCCACGCTGGTCGATTGTCAGCGTGAGATTCAAATCCGAATCTCACGCTCCGTAGAGTACCTGAAGAAGCTGGGCAGCGCCAACATCACCACCAGTGCTATCGCCACACGCACCAGAATCCTGGATCAGCTGTGGGCAAAGTTCGAGACGCAGCACGACCTTATCCGAGCGGCCCTGAAAGACAAATTCAGTGAGAGCGAGTATTTCCAATCAGATTTCCACGCAGATACAGAAAATCTGTATGTAAGTCAGCGAAGCATACTTGATGGCTACGCCGAACACTTTCGTGCACCGAACGTAGCTCCTTCTGCCGACGTCACGCCACGGTCGTCACTGCCGCGCATCAAGGTACCGCCATTCTCTGGTGCTTACGCTGATTGGCCGTCGTTTCGGGATCTCTTTCTCTCCGTCGTGAGTGGCAACGCGATCTCCAACATCGAGCGCTTCCATCACCTCCGCTCATGTCTGACGGGACCGGCTGAAAAGTTAATAAAGTCGTTACCCGTCACTAGCGACAATTATGAGCGTGCTTGGGCGATACTGGACAAGCACTACAACAATAAAAAAGAATTGATCCGCTCCAACTTTGCCACGTTCATCGCCGTGCCAAAGATGAAGGGAGATACCGCAGAGGAGTTGAGACGCATCCACAACGCCGTTACTGCCACCGTCAACGGTCAGGAGAGCATCGGGCGTCCAATAAACTCCCACGGGATGGACCTCTTCAACTTCCTGGTGACGGAGCTTTTTGATGCACGCACACGTCTGGAGTGGGAGTCGTCCATTTCAGACTCATCAGAGCCAGCACAGAACGAGGCACTCGTTGACTTTATCAGTCGGCGGATCCTGACGCTCAATGCCGCACGACCAAAGGGCGTCAGCAAACCGTCCGGAGATGCTCCACGGATCGCCAAGGCACACGTCACGAAACACCAAGGATCTGAACCGCCGCACTGTGCACTGTGTCGCGAGAACCACACCTTGATGGCCTGCCGAGACTTCAAGGCCAAGACAGTCAACGAGCGTAAGGCGTTCATAGAGACAAGCAAGCGCTGCTACAATTGCTTAGGCAACCACTTTCTATCTCGCTGCCAGTCGAAGAAGAACTGCCTCACATGCGACGCACGACACCACACGATGTTGCACGGAGCACCGACGTCTTCACTGTCAGCTGAGGCCACCACACGCGCCACCACACTGACCACGACTCTGCAACATCAGGATCACAAGGCCGTTCTTCTGGCAACAGCTCGAGTGAACATCGCCGATCGGTACGGGTCCCCACACGCCGTACGCGCTCTGATCGACCAATGCTCTGAGGTGTCGATCATTTCAGAGACCTTGGCACAACGCCTTCGCCTTCCTCGAGTTTCGACGGATCTTTCGATCTTCGGCATCGGAGGGACCCGCTCAGGATCCGCTCGAGGCAAAGTAACGCTGCACGTAACGTCAGACGTGACCAACGCCGAGCTCAGCGTGGTAGCCTTTGTGCTGCCTCGCATATCACTGCAGCAAGGATCAGTCTCACGAGGAGAACGCAGCTGGCCTCATCTCAAGGGACTCCAACTGGCCGATCCTCGTTTTTTGGACGACGACCCAGCTGAGTTACTCTTAGGAGCCGAGGTCTATTCCTTGATCCTCGAGGAGGGCCTCCGCAAAGGAGATTCAAGGATGCCGATCGCCCAGCAAACAAGCCTGGGGTGGATCCTCTCTGGCGGATACGACGCCGCATCAGTCAACGGACATCGCCGCACATTCCGATGCACCGCCGATCATGACCTCGCCGACCTCGTTCGCCGCTTTTGGGAGCAGGAGAGCGAGCCAATATCTCAGGCTCCACTCACTCCTGACGAAACCAAGTGCGAGGAGCTTTACGTGCGCACCGTCACACGCACGCCCACCGGAAGATACATGGTGAGACTGCCTCTTGCATCACCGCCGACGACTCTTCAAGACACTCGCCGCCCTGCGGAGCACCTCCTGAAAGCCATGGAGTCCAAGGGCAGCCGAGACCCTCGATTTGGCGACCTCTATCGCAGCTTCATGCAGGAATACGAGGACCTGCAACATATGAAGAGGGTAAATATCGCAACAACAGCTGAGAAGATCAGATGCTACTTACCGCATCACGGGGTCCTGAAGGAGGCGAGCACGACGACGAAGCTCCGAGTCGTGTTCAACGGCTCTCAACGGACACGAACTGGGAACTCGCTGAATTCGCATCTGCTGACTGGGGCGAATTTGCTGCCCGCTCTCACCGACGTGCTGCTGCGATGGCGTTGGCACCGATATGTCTTCGTCACAGACATCGAGAAGATGTATCGCCAAATTCTCGTACATCCTGAGGACTGCAGCCTTCAAACGATACTGTGGCGTCAACACAAAACGAGCGAGATCCAGGAGTACGAGCTGCTGACGGTGACCTACGGCATGGCGTGTGCACCGTTCCTGGCCATCCGAACGCTGCGGCAACTCTGTGCGGACGAAGGGGCGCAGTTTCCTCAAGGGGCCACAGCACTTCGGCGAGATTGCTACGTCGACGACGTAGTCACCGGAGCGGACGACCTCGGCGATGCCGTCAACCTCCAGACAGAGCTGCGCAATCTCTGCATGGCGGGCGGATTTCCGCTGAGGAAGTGGGCTTCAAACAATCCGGACGTCCTCAGCGGAGTCCCACAGGAGCACCGGCTGCAGCAAGGACCACATTCCTGGGACGACGAGAGCCATTCGACCTTGGGTCTGCGATGGCATCCTCAAGAAGACCGGTTTGCCTTCGCCATACATCCTCGTGTAGTCAGCGAGTTTACGAAGCGACGCGTCCTAGCAGAGACTGCACGGCTGTTTGACCCGATGGGCTGGCTCGCACCTGTCGTGATTCGGGCGAAGATCCTGATCCAGACCACCTGGCTTCAGCAACTCGACTGGGACACTCCACTACCTGCCAAGGACGTCAAACGTTGGCAACAGCTGCTGAACCAGCTACCTCTGCTCAGCAACATACGGGTGAATCGCTGGCTCAGCACCGACAGCGATTACTCCACGTTGCAGATCCACGGCTTCGCAGATGCATCAGAGCGAGGATATGCTGCCGCCGTTTACATCCGCAACTCTGGAACGAAACAAACCACAATCAATTTAATCATGGGGAAATCCAAAGTCGCGCCCGTCAAGCCAGTTTCGTTGCCTCGCCTTGAACTGTGCGCTGCTGTGCTACTCACCACGTTGACGTTGCATATCCGAAACACCCTCGGCTTGACATCAACTCCAGTGCACCTGTGGTCCGATTCCAAGGTCACTCTCCATTGGATCCAGGGACACGCCGCTCGCTGGAAAACGTTCGTCGCCAACCGGGTGGCTCACATCCAGACTCAGCTCCCGGACGCTCAGTGGAGACACGTGGCCGGGAAGGACAATCCTGCAGATTGCGCATCACGAGGAATTAATCCGGAAGAGCTAGTCAATCACACGCTATGGTGGACGGGACCTACCTGGTTGGCACTGGACGAGACAGCATGGCCCAGCTCAGAGGTCCACATCGCAGAGGATGACCTTCCTGAACAGCGCACCACCAGCCTGATGACCAAGGGCTCCGTCGTCGTCGAACCGGACATCCTTCTTCGGTTCTCTGCGCTTCATCGGCTGCTACGCGTTACGGCCTGGTGTCGTCGATGGCTCAACGTGGCGAGCCGAGAGGTCACACTTGGTCGTCCGCTGCATCCTGACGAGCTGGACGCCGCCCTACTTCAGTGGCTTCGAATTGTGCAGGCACTCCACTTCCCGGACGAGATAGCCGCTGCCACTGCGAGACGTCCCGGTCCACCACGCAGTTCACTGATCAAACTCAGTCCATTCCTCGACGACCAAGGTGTACTGCGCGTAGGAGGGCGCCTCAAACACGCTCTGCTGCCTTACGACGAGAAGCACCCGGTGATCGTTCCGCCGGCCTCCTGGATGACGCGACTGCTCATCGAGTCCTGCCATCGTCGGTCTCTACACGGCGGCGTCCAGATGACTCTCGGCTTGCTTCGTCATCGATTCTGGGTGCCACGAGGAAGGACCGTCATTAAGCAGCAACTTCATCGGTGCGTCACTTGCACTCGCTGGCGAGCGGCCACTCCACAGCCTCCAATGGGCAACCTTCCGCGTGACCGAGTGACGCCGACTCGGCCATTCCTGAGCACTGGCCTGGACTACGCGGGACCCATCTTCATCCGGACCAGCAAGGGGCGCGGACACCGCTCACAGAGAGGATACATAGCTGTCTTCGTATGCTTTTGGTCGAAGGCTATCCACCTCGAAGTCGTCTCGGACTACAGTTCCGAGGCCTTCATCGCCGCCTTACGTCGCTTCGTTTCCCGCAGAGGCCTGTGTACGGACGTGTACAGCGACTGCGGCACGACGTTCGTCGGCGCCGATCGCACCCTGCGCGAGCTCTTCAAGGCGTCATCTTCCGAGGGCCATCACATCGCTCGCGCCGCCAACAATCAAGGGATCCGCTGGCACTTTAATCCGCCAGCGGCCCCTCACTTCGGTGGTCTGTGGGAGGCTGCCGTAAAATCCACAAAGTTCCACCTCCGTCGAGTAATCGGCGAAACCACCCTCACATATGAGGAGCTTAGCACACTCCTCACGCAAATCGAGGCGTGTCTTAATTCTCGTCCGTTGCAGGCTTTATCAGACGATCCGGACGACACTTCGGCGCTCACACCAGGCCACTTCCTCATCGGGGCGCCACTATTAGCCGTACCTGAGCCATCGTCGACTGGTCAACCAGCATCCACACTGTCACGCTGGCGTCATCTCCAATTGATGCGAGACCATTTTTGGCAGCGTTGGTCAGCGGAGTACGTGCACGGCCTCAACCCCCGCACCAAATGGGTCAAGTCCGAGGCCGCACCTCACGTGGGGGACCTCTGTCTCATTCGTTCGGAGCTCACCCCTCCGACCCGATGGCCTCTCGCACGGATCACGAGACTGCATCCCGGGGACGACGGTATCGTCCGCGTGGTTTCGGTCCGCACCGCCACATCCGAATTCGTGCGCCCGCTCGTTAAATTAGTCATGCTTCCGGGCGCGGATCGTATTCCTGGCATGACTAACGCGGACACATCGTCCGCCGGCACATAATTCATCTCGCGACACTTTTCACCTCACGCACTGTATCACTCATCACATCTCATTTTTTACCTCATTTTTATCTCATTACCGCACTTACATTTCATCCATCACCGCACTTACATTTGATCCATCACCGCACTGATAATTGTTCCATCATCTCACTGCACTACACAACACATCAAACACACACTCGTTACTGTCTCAGCTGATCATCACATTCCACGCGATCACCACGTGTTCGCGTATCAGCTGATCGATTCAATTACACGCGATCATCACGTGAACCTCGCCGCGCCGGCGCGTCTACCCCACCATCGATCACTATCGACTTGCGATTCCGCGACCGAAATCCCACCATATGTTGTCACTGCGCGACAAGGCGGGCGGGAATGTTTGAAACGCATAATAGAAAACTACTTGTGTAATAAAATATTATATTTTATTATTAGAATATTCTAGAATATTCGCTTCCGATCGCAAGTCAACAGGCATATCGTTTTTTATATGTTTTTTTTTGGAAAACATATCGCGACATAAATTATCCTGTCGTACAAAAACACGCTCGAAATATAAACAATTAACGGTGTCGCAACCGTTCCGCCGAATAATTATATTTTATTGAGCATGCGCGGCTTCTCACGGGCGCCTCGTTTCGCCAATAATCATCGTGATCGCCAGCTCGCGCATGCTTTCTAACAACCGTTGTTCTGTCAATTTTGACAGCGGCCAATTACGCGTAATACGCTCAGGTCACCTCGCGCAACTTTAAAAAGACGCAAAATTATTGGCGCTTCACACGAAGGTGGGTTTTTTGCGGAAACCCATAAAAGAGAGCTCGCACCCGAAATCAGGGCCTTATCGCTTTTTCCGCCGTGAACCGCATAACGCAACCGCAGATTTGTAAAACCGCAGAAATTCGTTGACGACCGCCGCTTATTCCGCACTTTGATTTGAGTTCGATTTTCTCTGTAAATTAATTAAGATTGTAAAAGTTTGTTAAAGTGTTCGTTTTCTAATTGTTTTATAATATTAAAGTCAATTTAATACAAAGAGTGACTCATCCTTTCGTGCAGCGCGATCCTTTCTCTCGCAGCGCGTTCGTGAACAATAATATTTAAGTAAAAATAATTTGATATTTTATTTAAAAATGTACAAAATTTAATTAAAATTTATAAAATCGTGTTTATATACATATATTACTTTATCTTTGCCAGGAAAAAAAATATTTATCGTGGTATTAAAAAAAATCTATTGTAACATATTATATACAAATATCTAATACATTTCCAAGAATGTTTTAGGAATCTATAATAATGAGCTCGTCTTATAAAGTTATAGTAACTGTTGGCTGTTTCTTCAAGCTTTCGATTGAATAAAATAAAATATAATAAGAAATTGTGTTTGTTGCTATTGAGTTTTATAATCGTTTTATAATTAAATTTAAATTCATCTTTATTTATAACTGGAAGCAATGGATCTGCCTGTTGGTGACGTTCGAGATTCCTGCCATGTAAGTATATATTGTGTATTATATATTATTTTAATAACGTTAAATACCATAAAATCTTAAAACTACGTATTAACTATATGACATCTCATGTGAATGATTTTAATTTTTCAGTGATTTTTTTATCAAGTCAATAATAGCAATACTGACATAAAAATTAAAACAATAATGGCTAAAATAAAAAATGTTTTGTTACAAACGTCATATGAGACGGATGTAAAAAAAGAATTAATACACATCTTGCAGTTGAATCGACAATTAATTCAGACGAATAATTTGCCTAATAACATAAAAACAATTATAAATGTAGATACTGTCATAAATGTAAATACTACAAATATAAATGTAGATACTGCAAAAAACATAATGAAAAACAAGAACAATGTGACATGATAATGTGATTCCCGAGATTCCAGAAAAATTAGATTGAACCATTGGAATATATTGATGTGATTGAAAAATTAACTGTTCAATACTTCTTTATCATTTGAAAATTTATGTAATAATCTCCCTATTGTAAATGATTTCATAGTTAACGCTGTGAAAAATGGTTTTTAAAAACAGACATTTGCTTAGTCAATCTGCCATAATAATTGTTGGGTATTCTACGAGTGTATTTCCACAATTAGCAAAAGACTCGCGAACTTTTTTAAAAAACCAAGTTCATGTCCATTATGAACTTAAAAGTGTTCCTCCAGGTTTCTATTGTCACATTGGCATGAGAATGGACTACGTAGGATAATTAATAATAGTTTAAATATGCAAAAACATTTGATGCAAAATGTAAAATAGTATTACCTCTTAACATAAACTTATGGTATTACCGATATCTAATTATTCAAAAAGTCAACCTGGCCTATTCTTTCTCCATAGATCTAAACTGGTGATAAAAATATTAAAAAACCTTTTGCGGCTGATATATCACGGACAAAGAAACCAGCCTATGTAGACCATTTTTAACTGAGTTTAGAAAGATAATTCAAAATTTAGAACAAAATGGTTTTAACATAAATAAAAAAATAATAAAAGTAAAGGTTGTAAACTTGTTTGTGATGGCAAGCAAAATTCTATTATTTTATGATTAAAATTCATAGTCTATAATCCTGCAAAAATAAACAAGATTGAACTTAACAAATAAGAATGAATTTTTTACCACTAATAAAATTGCGGATGATTTCAGTAGAGAAATAAATTATTGTGGAATTCCATAAAGATAAAAAGAAAAAATTATTCTTTTCCTATCCCTTCCACTTTATGAGGCATTTGGTCATTCTCTATGGCGTTTCCACGACTAAAGCCTTTGGATAAGAGGGATAAAAATCATCGTTTACCCGAGACTGATAAAAATGATATTAATAATCAATTATTGTTTTTGAAGAATTATGTGCCGAAAGATTTTCCACGCTTGCCAAGAAGTTTAGAGGACATTGAATACTATAAAGCCACTGAATTAAGGCAATTTTTATTATACACCGGACCAATTGTTTTAAAAAGATTGCAAACAAAAATATATACACACATTTCATGGCCTTATCCTGCGCTATTCGAATTTTATGCAGTCCTGCATTATACAGAGTTTATAATAATTATTCATTGAAACTACTCGAATACTTTGTTCAAAAATATGCAATACTTTACGGAAAAGAATATATTACTCATAATGTTCATGGCCTTATACATTTGCCCATAGATTGCTTGCAACATGGTCCACTTGACACTTTCAGTTGTTTTAAATATGAAAATTATTTATTGAGATAAAAAAAACAATTCAAGCTACAAGAAATCCTTTACAACAAATTTGTAATAGGTTAAAAGAACAAGAATATATGCAAAACAATGATAATGAAAAAACGTATCCAATTTTACGTCAGCAATGTACTGATCAATTTCATAAACAAGATTTTATATTCTACAAAACAGTAATCATTGAAAAGTTTGAACTAAGCACATGTGATAAAGATAATTGCGTTATGTTAAAAAACAATTGTGTATTTTGTGTCGAAAGTATTTATAAAGAAATCAAGACTTCAGAAATCTTTTTAAAGGGAAGAAAATTCATTGAATCAAAACCATTTTTCAGTTCACCTTGTTCCTCAGAATTATTTAATATTCAGCAAACACAACATTTGTCATATGATTTGTACACAGTCAATATTCACGACATTAAAGGGAAATGTGTGAAATTTCCTTACGACGATGGTTTTATCATCATGCCATTGATTCATATGCAAGAATAATATAAAATATAATATAATTGCAAATAATAGTTTAGGTATTTTTTAGTAGGTACGAGTATATCAGGAGACGCGGTAGCGTCTCGCTAAGTTATATCTTTTATTCGTCAAATTAAAATACAATCTACAAAAAAACAAAAAAAAATATCGAAAGATATCGAAAAGATAGCGAAAATATCGAAACAATAGCGAAAATTATCCGTAGGACGCTACTGTGTATCCTTTACCGGACCGGACGTAACACGATTTTCGTAACCTTGAAAACAAAAATTTGAAATATTTCATGAACGGAAACATATTTTTCAAAAGATGACCATATCAATCGAAAGCGCGATTTTTTCCGAGTAAAATGAGACCTTAAGGAACTTGATAGCTCTATTGGTTGCGGAGATATGAATTTTTCAAGTTATTTTTGGTCGAAAAGGTGTCACTTTTTTTTAAGATACGGCGTCGTACTTGTCCCGATCACCCATCCCGACAAAGTGATTCTGTCCGAAGCTGCTTTACCTTATCCGCGGTCACCCATCCTAGTATAGTGACATTTTCCTCAGCTGCTTAACCTTTTAAGCAACCAAACAAAAAATAAATTCTTGCTCTCTCACCTCTCTCTCTCTCTCTCTCTCTCCCTCTCACTCTCTCCCCCCCTCTCTCTATCTCCCCCCCTCTTTCATTCTCTCCTTTCTCTCTGCTTCCCACGTCTTTTTTCGCTCTCTCTCGCCCTCTCTCGCTTTCTCTCTCTCGCTGTCGCTCTCGCTCCTCCTCTCTCTACCGCTCTCTCGCGTTTCTCTCGCTCTCTGCCGCTCTCTCTCGCGTTCTCTCGCTCTCTCCACTCTCTCTCGCGTTCTCTCGCTCTCTCTCGTCGTCTCTCGCTCTCTCTCGGTTTTTTTCGCTCTTTCTCACTTTCTCTCGCTGTTTCTCGCCTTCTCTCGTTCTCTCTCGCTCTCTCGCTTCTTTCCGGTCTCTCTCGCTCTCTCCCGCTCTCTCTCGCGTTCTCTCGGCCTCTCTCGCTCTCTCTCGCTCCCTCTCGTCTTCTCTCACTCTCTCTCGGTTTTTTTTTCGCTTTCTCTCTCGCTGTTTCTCGCTCTCTCTCGTTCTCTCTCCGCTCTCTCTCTCGCTTTCTTTCGCTTTCTCTCGCTCTCTCCCTCTCCCTCTCGCTCTCTCCCCGCTTTGTATCGCTCTCTCTCGCTCTCTCTCGCTCTCCCTCTCTCGCTGTCTCTCGCTCCCTCTTGCTCTCTGCCGCTCTCTCTCGCGTTCTCTTCTCTCGCTCTCTCTCGTCTTCTCTCGCTCTCTCTCGGTTTTTTTTTGCTCTCTCTCGCTTTCTCACGCTGTTTCCGCCTTCTCTCGTTCTCTTCTCTCCCGTTCTCTCGCTTTTCTCTCGCCCTCTCTCGCCCTCTCTCGCTCTCTCTCGCTCTCTCTTGCTCTTTCCCGCTCTCTTCCCTCCTCTCTCCCGCACTCTCTCGCGTTCTCCCGCTCTCTTCTCTTCC